ACGAAAAGTTATTGAGAGTGAACCTCTGAACGACAAACGATTCAAGTCCTTTAACCGAGCAATTGATTTCCGGTGATTATGTTAGAACCGAAATCAATTATCCCCGATTCCCTAGATCTTTAATCATTTAGTGAATTGTTTGTCATTTAAATTGCGTTTAATCTAGTTTTAGTATCCTTAGTTGATAATAGAAAACCCCAAAATATTGAACTAGAGTGTTTAGGAATTTGTTTTCTCTTTTTCGTGATTGAATAAACACACAAGAATATTCGGCTAACCTTCCCCGCGATACGACCCGGGGAACGAATCTTTCGATTCTACTCCGGTAAAAATACTGACAACAGCAACAAAAGGCAAGAATTCTCTGGCTAAAGGAAGGGGAAAAAAACACAAAGTTTTTTCATGCATACACTCTTCAGAGAAGAAAAATGAATTCAATTGGAAGGCTTCTCAATGACAACAATGTTCTATGTGAGGATCAGAAGGAGATAGAGAAGATAATTTCTGACTATTACTCGAACCTGTACACTACTCAAGGCTCTACTCATGGACACAATCTGTTGCCACTGATTCCAAACAATATCTCAGACAACATGAATGAAGATCTTATATCACCAGTTAAGGAAGAAGACATCAGAAGAACACTTTTCAGTATGAATCCCCATAAATCCCCAGGAGATGATGAAATGTTCGCACTCTTTTATCAACACTTCTGGTCAATTGTTAAAGAAGACATTTGCAAAGCTGTTCAGAGTTTCTTTACTACAGGCCAAATGCTCAGGTATTAGAAGCACACCCTCATAACTCTAATTCCAAAATGTAAAAATTCCACATTTGTCTCTCAATTCAGGCCAATAAGCCTATGCGCAGTCTTTTATAAAATCATAACAAAAATTCTTGCTGCTAGATTGAGGAACTGTCTGCCCAATTGCATATCTGAAACACAGGCAGCATTTTTGCCTGGCCGACAGCTGTTGGACAATGTGGTTATAGCACATTAAGCTTTTCATTTCCTCAATCGACACAGAAGTGGTAACAATTTTTTTATGGCACTTAAATTAGATATGGTTAAAGCTTTTGACAGAATCGAGTGGAAAAGCATTCAGCTAACTATGCTAAAAATGGGTTTTCACCCACTTTTTGTTGAATGGATAATGGCCTGTATCACTATGCCTTCATTTTTCTTCAATCTTCAAGGCAGGCCAACTGGTTTTGTAACTGCTACCAGGGGTGTTAGACAGGGAGACCCCCTGTCACCCTATTTATTTATAATTATATTTGAATTGTTATTTGCAAGATTATTTTCAGAAAATTCAAGAGGCGGCTTCAAAGGACTAAGGATTGCAAAGGATGGTCCTGAACTTACTCATCTACTTTTCGCAGATGACCTCCTTATTTTTTGCAAAGCTGGAGTACACCAGGCACATAAGCTTCTTCAAATTCTACAAAATTATCACCATTTTACTGGACAGAGGGTTAATCTAGAAAAATCATCAATATTTTTCAGCAGAAATACTCCTTCAGAAGTCCAGGAGAGGTGCTGTCAAGTTCTCAATGGTATTAAATTACAGTATTCAACCAGATATTTGGGGCTTCCATTAGGAATTGGAAAATCTAAAAAAAAAGCTTTCAGTTATGTTCTATCTGTGGTTAAAAATAGAATCCAAAGTTGGAAAAACAAATGGTTATCTCCTGCTGGTAGAGAAATATTAATAAAAGCTGTGATAAATGCATTGCCAGTATTTACAATGTCTTTCTTTTTACTTCCTAAAGGCCTATGCAGGGAGATAACTACTGTTAGTGCAAGATTCTGGGGGAGCAAAGGTGATAATTGCCACAGAGGAATACACTGGAAAGCATGGGACCAAATGACACTTCCAAAATCTCGTGGTGGTCTGGGCTTTCAAGACATCCAACTTTTCAATGAATCCCTCATAGTAAAACAAATCTGGAGACTTTTGTCTCAGCCTCAGCTATTGGTAAGCAGAGTCATTAAATCCAGATATTACCCTGAATCATCTATTTTTGCTGCTAGCAGGAAAGACAATGTCTCAGCTTTGGAATTCTTGGTTGATAGTTAAAGAAAAATGTGGGAAATGGATGCAATCAGTGATACATAATGGCAAAGGGACAAGAATTATTGAAGACTATTGGGTACCCAATCCTGCAAGCAGAAGACTTCAGTTTAAACCAGGAGCAGAAGGAAATTTAATTTGGGTCAACCAATTACTCACACAGGATGGCAAAAGCTGGGATATTAATGCCCTAATAGAACACTTCTCTGATGATGACTGCTCAGCCATTATGCAAATAAACACTCTCAGGCCAGAAGAAGAAGACCAATCGATATGGAACCCGGACTCAAAAGGTAAATTTTCAGTTGCTAATACATATTCTCTCTTGGTGAAACAGAAGATCCTTAGGATGGATAGAGCACAAAGCAACACAACTTTCCTGAAGGATCAGAAAGCCAGAAACAGGCTTTGGAAACTCAATATCAAGGGTAAGATCAAACACTTTTTATGGAAGTGTATCTCAGGAATCTTACCGGTCGGTGTGAACTTAATAAGGAAAGGTATGGAAATTGATCCTATTTGTAAAGTGTGTGGAATGGATGAAGAAATAGTTGAGCATGTCTTATTTACTTGCCTTAATGCTAAATTGGTATGGAAATTAGCCCCGGTTTATTGGGAAGAATTAAAGAACATGGATACTTTTAAGGATTGGTGGTGGAATATATCAGAGTTAGGACATGATGACACTTCCGAAGCTTGTATCCAACTTTCAACATATATCTTATGGTGGTTGTGGAAGTGTAGGAATCTTTGGATTTTTGAAAATTCTCACAGGCCGGCTCCACTGATAGTTGAAGCTGCAGTAAGAGAATGAATAGAATTTGTGGAGGTAAGCCGGAAACAAAGCTTGGAAGGAAGAGAGCATTAATTCAGATGGTCTAGGGTTAAATTGACCAATGGAAGTCTAGTTATTGTTCTTTATTCTTTCTTTCATTTATGTGATTGTTTTGGAAACTTAAGTCATCGGTTGTATTATTAGCTGCTTAAGTTTCTAGTACTTGATGTCTTCTAGACCACCTGTGCGTGGATTTCCCATTTTTTCGGCTTGTATATTGAATGTAATCAGACGTTTCTTTTATTAATAAGATTATCTATCGTTCCGAGAAAAAAAAAACATAGATGAAAAACTACTGCATGTAATAAACATTCCCTTTAAATCAAAACAACTTCATCACCTCTCTGATGTAGCACCAAAAATAACTCGGTGAACTGGTTGAGCAGTTAGCTCGGATAGGGCCGGTCCAAGGAAGCTTAGAGCCAATTTATGTGATACATGGTATGGGTTAAAAATATCCATGAAGATCTAGGAAATATTGATTAAAGATATTTAAGTAAGTTTGTATATATCCACACAGTGATTTGGGAGAATGAGACTCCTTGGTTATTAAGGAAACCCTTTTTCTTGGGGAAGAAGCCATTAAACCCTTATAAATAAGGATTTCAGGTTCATTTTTCTATCTCTAAGCTCTTGAGATTACGTAAGATACACGATCAAAATATTTGTTTTCTGACTTGAGCGTCGGAGTGTCTACGAAGGAGCCCCGCCCCGGCGCTTTGTAGGTCGAGTCGGTTCTTGAAGACGAAGGCGATCGAGACGTCCGAACTCTCACGCAATCGGGATTGGCGGTTCGACCGGAAACCTCGGTGAGTCGATTATTTTGGCTCATCACTCTCGATCCACACTAGTCCAACTGAAGCTGTTGACGAAGTCACACAGACAGGCGTCACCATCAGAGTTGTCGATCACAATTTAGCACACTTCATAGCCACTAATACTTATAATGAAACACGATCTATGGATCGAAAGCTCTCTAAACCTATAAATTCAAGTATAATACTAGATCGGCTATTCAAATATAATAGGAAGTCGGAATCCCAATCCCACATTTGAACAAAAATAAAATGTCTTTTTAGTCATATACCTTTTATAACCCTCTTTTGAACATCAATTAAGTTGTAGACCCTTTTACATATTCACTATAATTTTCTTAATTTCTTTTAAAAAAAATTGTGACATTCAAAATATAACCTAAACGAGCCTTAAACCAAAAGACAATGCAATTTAAAAACCACTAAAATAATCAACAAATCAACTATTTATAAATAATAAATGTGAGTATATTTATGATTAAAAATAAAATATTCATACATATATATATATATATAAATGAAATTTTATTGGTGAATGGTTTTTTTTAAAAAAAAAAATGTATAATGGACGCAATTGCATGAGCCCATTAAAAAAATTAATTGAAAGAATGAAACCCAGGAAACAACTTAAAAAAAACCCAAAACCTAGTCTACGAATTGCTCAAAGCCCATTTTTTCGATATTGGATGTAACATGTTGGCCCATTTATTCCACACCTCGACCTGCAAAACACTACCTCTTCGAAGGCGAAACCCTAGCTCCACCGCGTCCCACTCAACCTGCGTGGTCGGAAAAATTCGTAGCTTCGGTAATCTCGTGAGCTTGTCATTTTTTCATTATGCTATTTGTAGAAACATATTCCTTGGGCAATTTGATGATGCTTTAATCTGTTAAAAGAAAAAAAAGATCCATTGATGATCAATTTTGGCCAACTGAAATTTCACCCATCTATATACTTCCGTAGAACAATTTCTCATTTTGGTGTGTGCCCAAATTTTGATTTTCCTTTCTAGCTCAGCCAATTGCTCTAGTGTAGGTGCGCACAAAAAATTATAATATTTGATTGGTTGGTTTTAAGCTGCCGAGGTTCAGTAATCTTGCTTGCATTTATAGGGTCAGTTGGTGGCTAGGTGAAAATGAGCTTGTTATCTCAAAATGCCGTGCCTAAGGAGCTGATCAAGAAGAAAATGGAAGTGAATAAGAAAATTGAGATTACATTTAGGTTGGTAATGGAAAGAAGATGAATTTGGATGGTAGAAGGAGTCGAAATAGGAAATGAGGCGGATAGAAAAGGATGAGCTAATAGAAAATCGAGCAGGAAGAGGAAGGAAAAAAATGCTAGAGAACATTTTTTTTGGATCCTTGTGCATTATGGTTGAATTTGAGAAAGATGATGATCATCATGATGAAGGAGAAGATGGAGAAGAGAGTTAGTCAGTAAATAGCTAAAGTCAAGAAACTGCGAAAGCTCAAGAAGGAAGAAGGGGCAAAAGTGTAAAATTTCTAGCTCTGCGTACGTTTTGAGGCTGAGGGCCCATCATACATATTAAGATTCAGAGGAAGAAAATTGGGGGAGTGGTATTGGCTAGTGGTTATGTGGATCTCGAAAAAACTGATAATATCCTCAAAGAACTTATGAAGAACTTGTTGTGAAGAGGGACATAAAATTGCTACCGAGTTTTTTCAAGTACTCGAGGCTTGTTGATGAAAACTTGAAGGACCCTGCAAGAAGGCCCATCTGTTCTGTTCAGTTTCACAATAATTGGACATTGAGATTTTTTTCAAGTTGATGGCAAGAATAATGGAATTATTCGGAGTATTTTTTCTTGAAGATTGTCGGGTAAGAAAGGATGCATTTTTGCTTGATGGGTCACAAGCGATTATATCGGGGAGGAAATTCGCTTACAGTTTTGACTTAGTTCATGCCTAGTGGATGAATTCAGGCCTTTTGCAGGTAGGGAGGAGAAAATCTTAGAATGGTACATTCTGTTAGTTGCATCGAGAACTAAAAAAATTAATTGGAACGTTGAAAATGAATGGTTAGGTTAGGTCAATGGCATTTTCAAATGAACGGGCAAAAATTGCTTAGTTCGGGTGGGGATGAGAAGGTTTGTGTTGATCTGTGCAAGCTTTTGCATACTTTTATTGTTTTCTTTATTTCTTTTATTTTATTTTATTTTTTTCTACAGCAATTTTGCAAGGAAGAGTTTTTGTTCAAGTGTTGAATTTTATGGTTGATTGTGCTTAAAAAATAGTGGTAAATGAATTTTGCACTATTGAACTTGTTTGGCACGACTTAAATGAAATGCAATAGTGATGGGTCTACTTCCAGATCTGAAGAGAACCGGTGGATTTGAGCTCAGATCTGCTTAAACCGCCTCTAAATCGTTGCTAGACCGCGAGAGTACCTGCAAAAACTCAACGCCGGAGGTGTTTCCGGCGTAAAGCCTTCGACGCTCAAGTCAATATGAGAGTGATGAAGAGATGCTGCGCAGCAGCTATGAGGGGAGTGTGGAATGAATTAGAGTTAGGGTTTAGGGTTACCTCACCTCCTTTATATAGGAGTGAACATTTACCTGAAGTACCCGAAATGCCCCGGTCGGCTGTCCTGTAAGGTCTAAATTGCCCCGATCGATTCGTCTCCCCTTGCTGCTGAGTCATCACAAGATTCCTTCTTGTCCTTTGGAGCATGTAGAGCCTTGAGTATGTTATGTGTATCGAGTCGTTAGTGTACCTCACGTCTTGAGGTATGAGGAGTCAACATCGAGTACGGGCGAGTTGACTTGAGGTCTTCTGGTTGTTCGGAGGCTCCGATCTTGTTGACTCTGTAAGTAGACGTCGGGTATCAAGGAGTCGACTGAACGAAGTCGACGTCTAAGAGTTAATCTATAGGAAGTCGACCTCCGAGAGTGGACTTTATAGGAGACATACCGTTTCTTGCGACCATTTAATGGAAAGTCGACTTGAAGATGTCGACTGGTATATGTCGACGTGTGGGCGGCCTAACCATTTGTCCGGTTGACTGAAGGGTATTCGGGCCGGTATAACATAATATGGCTATATCATCTAGTCAACCCCCCTCCCCCCCAAAAAAAAAAATTACTCTAAGCGACTCTGAGCTTAAGAGTAAATTTGGTTGGTCTGATGTTTCTTTCGATATCGCCCTTATTTTCTTCCTCGATCTTCCGTCTGTCAGGAAGCCTTTGTTTGGCTCGTCATTATCATGTCTGCCATGTCTCGTACACAACTCAGCCTTCTGATTTATCGAACCTTTGCTCGTCTCGTCACCATATCTTGTCCCTCGTGATTGGGCTTCCAAATCGAATCTGGGTTCTAATATCTTTTGGATTTTTCCAACATTCTGACACCTTTTCAAATTTTGAAATTAGGGTTACAGTGATGTGGCGCTGCCTTTTGCCGCTTCGAATTCTGTGCCTGATCATGAACCGTCGGATCCCATTTTGATCCAAAAGTTGGTAATCGCTTGGCCCGCTTATAAATACCCTTTCCTTTTGATGGACGTCACTTTTTCACAATCTCTTGCTTCTTCTCCAGAGCACTCCAGCTTCTCCGGCGATCTCAGTATTCTCGGTTTTACCGGTGCTCTTCTCTGTCTGGCGACTTCAGATTCTCGAGGCTTCTTCAGCAGTAATCATGTGTAAGTTTCACGTTTCTAACTCTTGCTGACTTTTACTTTCGTATACTTTGTGCGCTTCCTCATCTTTTTTGGGGTTTTTCTGGGTTCGAACAACCTGTGTTCTTCATGTTCTTCAAATTTTCATATGGACTTTCTGCTAGATCTTTCTAACTTGAGTTTTCCCTTGGACTTCTTATTTCTCTGCTTCGCCACATGTCAGCTTTTGGTTCGAAACCGATTTGTATCTCTTTTAGGTCGACTTAGGTTTAACTTTTTCCGATTCTTAACATGTATTCTCGTCTTCTTGACTAAGACGAGTTTAGTGTTTATCGCGGTCTTGTCTACTTTGGAGTCGTTTCCCAGAGGCTCCCCCTCTACATTTATTCCTCGGCTCGACCTCTATTGACTTTCATAAGTCGATTTGTTCACTATCGACTGTGCTAACCTTTGCTTCATGCTGATTTTGTTTTTATTGATTTCGACTCTCTTCCTTTTTGTTTTTTCCTAGATTCTGATTCTGACTCTTTGCCTGACACCATCGAACATTTGATCGACGCAGGCGCTCAATCATCCGACTCAGTACAAGTGGTCGGATATAAGCCAACTGATCAATCGCCAAACTCTCCTACTTCCGATGCCTCATCTTTCGGAATCGACCGAGATGCCTATAACCAGGCGTGGATGTCGAGCGTTCTGATGGAGAACCCAAAGTCTTCCTAAAATAGAGTGTCTCCTCGTCTCGACCTCATTCCCCGAGGTATTCCCCTTAGGATCTTAGATTTACCTGTATATAGAACAAGTCCTTCTTCTTTACCCATAATTGCGCCTCTTCTCGAGGTTCAAAATGTTGTATCTGTAGCGTGTCCATTAGCAAAGTTAGCTGTTTTAAATCCTTTTTGTTATGCCTCCGCAGCCGAGGTCGAGGGCTTTAGGATGTCCAGCGGACTTCCCGCCGATTGGGAATTGGTCGTTCCCCGCCCAAATGACGACTTCGCTAATCCTCCTCCTGGCTTTTATACCTTTTTCATTGACCAAGTGTTGTTCGGTCTCCGCTTTCCCATCCAACCCGAACTTCGGGCTATTAGCGATTTATACGATGTACCCATAAATCAGTTTTCTCCCAATGCGATTCGCATCATGATCGCTTTCATTGTTGTATCCCGAATAAAACTTAGATATTTCTCTCCAGAGTTCCTTTTTTACTGTTATAGCTATCGATTCATAAAAGACGCCCACTGCTTGGGTCGTCGTGCTGGTGTCACCTTTTTCGATGACCTCTCCTCGAATGTAACTAAGTGGAAATCAAAATTTGTTTTTATTCGACTTGCTTCTGGTACATATCCATACCCAAACACTTGGATTACCTCCAAGGTTAAACAAAATAAACGGCCACGGTGCCCCAAATTTGCGTCAATGCTGGTCGAGCTCAATAAACACACTTACAAAGCTCGCCCGTTGATCAAAGAGATGTCCCTCCTTAATCATGTCGGCCTTGTTGTCGACGAGGATCTTCCTCGTCTCGACGACCCTCGTAAGTCTGATTTTCATGCTTTTTCTATTTTAAGTCTTTATGCTGATATGACTGACACTTTTTATGCCTGTTTGAAGATTCCGTTCTTGCCCGGTTTGAGAAGTCGAAGAGCGATGGAAAATTCACTGCTCGACCTACCCCTCCGAAGAAACCCGACGGCGGCTCGGGGTTGGGTGTGAAACAGGCGGCAGTTGAGACGACTGCCGTCAAGAAGTTGAAGGTACTACTCTCACCCTCCGGGAGTCAGAAAAAGGCCTCGGGCTCGTTTCCTCAAAAGCAAGCTCAAGACACGGTCGACGTCACTCTTGTCCAAGGCGCTCTCAAGCGTCAGAAGACCAAAGATAAGGGTAAGGCCATCGAGCAAGCTTCTCCTCCAGGCCAGCTCGAGACAGTCACCCTCGAGAGGCCCTCGCGACTTTGGGATCATCCTCACCCTAATGAGATCGCCAAATACTTTGACTCCGTCATCCCTGCTGCTGATAAGGCTCGCGGCGATTGTGATCCTTATGATTGCGCTAGCCGCGCTCTTCTATGGTTTTCTCGAGTAACTATTTTTATCTTTTCTCTTCAGTCGATTGTATCTACTTAAGCTTTAATTCTGTTTTTTGACTTAGTTTATTCATGGTTCTCTTCAGTTCATGGCATTTATCATGCCTTCTCTCCTCGAAGACACCAGCTCGCCCGACTCCAACGTCCGCTCTTTCAAAAAGAAGTATGAAGATCAGCTCCTCGAGCTCGAGAAGAACGATGATGACCTCCTGGCCGCCAATGCTCTGATTGCTAAACTCAAGATCGGGAAAGCCGCCGCCCTCTCCAAGGTCGACCAGCTTCAAGCTGACCTGGCGAAGGCGGTTGATGACGCCATGGTCGAGAGAGAGGCGGGGATCCTCGAGGGACGCAGGACCTTTCTTAAGTCACCCATGGGTTCTGTGTTCCTCGAGCACTATCGTCGAGAAACTGTGAATCTCTTCTACAACTCCCCCACCTTTCTCGACAAGCTCTGACCTGCGACTCTCCATTACTTCAACCATACGTTCGACGCGTGGGAGAAGGCCGTGGACAAGACTGAGTGCGCGGGTAAGCTCGACCGTGAGGCAGTCAAGCAAACCCTTCCTTTCCCCGACGGCTATAGGGGCGATGTGACTCTCTCCGCGGATCACCTGTGGTGGGTCGGCCTCGAGGCGAGAGCAATTCGCAAGGCCGGGCTGGGTGGTCGGCTCAAAGTTCCCCCCGCTCCTTTGGCTGGTCTGACCGAACTAGTCGGGCCAAATGGAGCGGATCACGTGGGGTCCTCCGATGCCGAGGAACGTGAGGAGCCGGTCGGGGACGAAGAGTTTGAGGAGGTGGGGCAGGAGGAAGTGGTTCGCACTGATGATGAGAAATCGACTGGTGGAGCTGACGGTGAGAAGCTGACTGACGAGGCTGAGGGTGATGGTGCCGAGAAAACTCAAACTGTTGTTGCTGGTGATGGTGATGAGGTAGAAAAGTCTGATGCCGAATCTTAAATTTTGTTTTGTTTTGAAAAAGATAGTTATTAGAGTATCTGTCGCCTTGGCCTATTTTCGAGACTGTAAAGGCCGAGGCGACTCGGTATGTAATGAATTTCCTTTGATTAATATTACTCTTTTCTTCATTGTTTGTATTAATGTCATACTTCTGCTGATTTTCAATTTTCTGGGGGTCTGCGTTATTCGTATTTCAAATTGTCTTGCTTGTTAATTTCCGTATATCTTGTCCCCAACCCTTCTTGCGAGCTGGTCGAAGTCGAGCAACGATTTGAGCAGCTTTCATAGCTGTGAAACGTAAGTTTTTCAACCCGTCTTCTCCCCAACCCTTCTTGCGAGCTGGGCAAAGTCGAGAAACCATTTTAGCAGCTTCGTAGCTGATAATCTTCATATTCTTTGTTGATGCATTTAAGTTGGTTGTATGAGATTTGTTCGTTTTTTAAGTGTGACAACTGCACAATTGCGTAAATTGATTTCAAGGTTATGAGCTTTGTGGTGAGCCCGAGATTTTTGCTCGATAGCGTGACTTAGTTGTCATAGTCGACTTCATAG